ATACTTAGACAAGAGAGGTTGGCGAAGTAACCAAATGGAACAGAATACAACATATTGGACAAAATATATGATGCTTCAAGCAAGCAGTAAGGCAAGAAAGGAAAAATTATTGTACTGTTTCTTCAACAAATATACTAATAGCTTCAATATTAAGTTATTCTAAATTCCCTAAGTACTGTAAAGGAATAACCAAATAAAATGCACATTTCCAGCTTGTGTAGATTTTATCCACCAACCAAGGCTTTCAACAGTTTTGCAACTAAAAAGAAACAAAAGTATACACTGCAAAATGAAACCAAGAAAGGATAGCACATCCTTTCAAAACACCTCCAGAGGCAGAAATCAGTTTGATATTTTAAAACCTAACATAAAATAAAAAAAATACAAAAGCTCAGCAGGAGTTAGTGTCCTGACAATTAACTGCCTTGTAAATCTTTTCACTAACATTTAGACTCTACAAAGTAAACAACGAAAATTAACTTTACAGGTACTTGGGAAAATGTGGTAGTTAATGCCTAGAGTTACACTTGAAAGAACTTTCAGGAATCATTTTCTGTATCTGTCAGTAATTCTCCCAAACATGAGAAAAGGGGAAGAACAGTCTGTGGTCTGATACATGAAAGGAAATTTATGAGATGGCAGGCACAAGCCCTGAAAAATGAAGAATATGAAGTAGGATATAAAAAAAAACCCAAACATGTATGTAACAACCTGTTTGGTTTTGCAGTTTCAGTTACCATCGGTTTTTAGTTTAGAGAGGTTTGTCATTAAACCTGGAAGAGAAACAGAAAGTCTTCAAAGTAGCATCAAATTCCTAAATGAACAGTTGCTTACATCAGTTTTCTTCAAAAAACAGCACAATTGCCCAGGCATTCCACCTGAAACTAGCTGCTTTTATATATTGGGTAACTTACTCTGTGATTTAAATACAAGTTGTTAACATATTAGATTGAAGGATAACATCAATCCATTTATATTTAGCATAGAAACATTTAGATTGGAAAAGACTTTTAAGATCATTGAGTCCAAAAGAAATATGTATTATTACAAAAATATTTTCATTCTCATAAAATAAACTAGATTGTGTACAAATTCTGTCTAAACAAATAAAATAATTATTAACTTATTCTTCACAAATGCACATGAAACTACGTAAGATAGATCTTTTACTCGGCAGCACATTCTCAATGCCAAACGTATCTGGTGTGATGAACATCCATGCCTGAGAAAAAGGAAGAAATACTGATGCTAATATTGAGGACAATGCTGTTCAGAAAACAAACAACCAAAAATGTGCTCTGCATTTCCTTACTCAGAAACGCAGTAATAAGGACTTCTATGTCAAAACAATTGAAAGTTACTAAATCAAATCATGCCATCAACTGAGGGAAGTATGAACATCAAATTTTCAACTGTTTTTCCCACTGCAGTGGGCTGATACTGCCCATTTTCAGCACTGGAAAACTTCAGGAAGGCTTCCTTTTTCTAGATGTCTTTCAGCCAAGTCACAGGAGCGTGTTAAGAATTGGAGCAGAATCTGTAAACTATTCAACTTTCACACGTGCAACAACAGTGCTCTAAAGTATCACATACAATTAATTCATAGATGTTCAAATAAACCTGGAAGGTAAGATAGATGCAGCTAAATCTGGTGTCACTAGGAAAAATGTATTGATAGATCACATGGGAAGAACCTGGTACAGAAATCAGGATCATGAATGTCTCCTAGATGCCTGAAATCACTGGAAAACAGATTTCAGGTAAGAACAAATTGCAGTCTGGCTGCAGGCCTTAGGAACACTGGGACCAGTTGCTTTCATAGCCCTTTTCCTGCAGGACTTTATTTCACCAGGGCTTGTGATCACTATTAACTTGTTTAGCAGGATCCTTTTGTCAATTAGGCTTTTGCAAGAGCCTTGTCTATAATTTTACTATTTAGGGAGGGATAAAGAACAACATAATTAATTCCTGAAAAGAGTAGTATACTGATGACATGGATACTGCTGCATATTCTCTGCTTTGCTTTCCCCACCAAACTCAGTATGTACACATACAGAGAGGTGAGAGCTTATATGTTAATTGTCTCTTACAAATAGTGAGCATCTGGACAGGTCTTGTATACTATGAGTTGGTCAGCAGTGATACTGACAGTTCAGGTAATTGTATTTATTAGACTCCTTGTAACTGGAAATTTTCTCAATTATTTTCTCAAGCTCAACTCTCTCAGGATCTCCTAGATATTTGAAACATTTATTCTTGCTTCAATTTTATTAATAGAAAAATTGGATATACTATACAGAAAAACAAATCCAACTTCCATTCCAGAGACCTCCCCAACAACTCCTGAAGGAGGACATGCTGCCTAAAAATTCATCAGGAGAGGCAGAAGAATAAATTTCCAGACTTCTTCACAGACAAGAATAAGAACGCACATTTCCCAAGATTGCTCAGGCAGACCAAGAGGGAACTCGTGTTCCTGAGTCTCTTTCTCCTCACCCATATTGCTTTTGCATCTCTAAGAGCTGTATTGTCACTGAGCAATAACCTTGCTTACCTGGGGTCCCTGCTAATCTGTAAGTAACCAAGACACGGATTCTAGCTGGGCACAGATAACCTTAGAGAACCTCAAGTTGCTTCCAAGTTGTTGATACAGATGTTTTAGTCAAAGAAAATAAGATGACAAAGCCACATTTCCATTAGTTCTGCAAGCAAGAAGTATCTCTGCAGGGGGTGATCATCTTTTCATTACTAAGTATCACTGTTTAAGTTTTGCAACTTCTCAGTATTGAAAACTGCCAGATATTACCAGATGCCACTCACAGACTTCTCAAGGTATACTAGGGCTCAATGCCTAACCTAATTTACATCTGGAGTTACATAAAACAAAGCATCTGTTCTTGTAACATGTATAGGTGGTACAAAGTTGAAAAAAAAAAAATCACATGGTCTATGACTTCTTTTCCCTAAGGAAGCACAGACTCACAGCAGGGCCATGGTTGGAAAGGATCTCTGAGATCACTGAGTTCAACCAGTACAAAAAACCAAAACAACAACACAAAGCCCAAACAAACCAAACAACAAAAATCCCCATAAACACCCAACCTACAATCTCAGCCGCTTTTTTTTTAAAAAAAAACAAACAAAACCAACCATCTTTTAATACTTCTGGATTATTTTAATGCAGCCAGCAGCTCAAAGGACCATCCTAAAGAGGAGTTCAGCTATACCAACTCCATTACTGCACAATTCACATCAGACTGATGCAAAAATCAGATAGTATTCAACAACTTGAAGGGTTACACAACACACTAACACTTGCAGATGCTTCTGAAGTCTGACACTTGATCCTTGGTTTAAGAGGTACTAGGAAATTTCTGAGAAGTCTCTTCCAAAGTGAAAAGATGACTTTCCAAATTCAAAATTCCCACTGCAAAATGCTCCTGTAGGCCAAACGTGTGATTGAAATGACAAACTCTGGAGAGCACAGAAAACACACACAAAAGGAATTCAAAACAACAGCTCTTCCTGAAGAGAAGAAACTGCTGACCACACGAAGCAACTGAAGTAGGGGAGAAGACTTGTATTCATGGCTTCGCAGATAAATTCAGTCTCTACCAGCAAGAATTCCACCATCACACCTGGCAGTCAGAACAGCCACAACTGCCGAGATCCCCTGGGTCTGAGAACCATCTACGGACCACAGGAGGCACCTGCTCCACCTCCTCACACTGCGGAGCCTGAGCACAAGGGAGCTGATCCACAGGCTTTGTGCTCCCTGCTGCCCTGGTATGCCAGAGCAGGAGACAAAAGACAATGGGGGAGCTCTGATAGAAGAGCGAGAGAATGTGGCAAATTAGTATTTTGGAAGTGGAAAGAAAGGGAAGGTCACAGTGTTATGGACTGAAGAGGAACAGGGTAATGTGATAAAAGTTCAATAATTACTAAATTCAGAAAAAACATTTAGAAGACAATTTCAGAAGCTTAAATTAGCAAGTCACTTAAGCTCCAGTTTTGGTCAGAAAATGACTTAAAATTAAAACATAAGTATGGAATTTGCACAGTAATTTCTTACAACTGTGCAAATAAGACTCAGCAGCAAGAAGGAATCCAGCTCTCAGTCTACTGGAGACAGGGAAACAGAAAACACACAGGTACTTCACCAAGGACTCTAGCAGGAAATATGTAAGCTCTATTTTAATTAATTTTAGATAATACAATTTATATAAGAAGTTGTATGTATGTAAGTAAGTATGGTCAGCTCTTAAGATACAAAAAAGTTAGTTTGCAACACAAAATGGCACTACCATACACATCTATGATAGAAAGAAAATTTTATTTTATTAACTCGTGTGAACAAAACAGACTTGATTTGGAGAAGCCAGGAGGCAGTTCATGTTTATTTACATACAGCATTTAGACTGTGTGCTAGCAGCTCTGACTACAAGGTCTTTTTTTTGCTCAGAACACAACTCCATTTTACAGGCGTTTAACAGGCAACCTGCAGTTTACTTACAGCACAGGAAATTTTTGTTAACTTAAAAGTGTATCTATTGACCCAAAATAAGTTAGAATACTGTCTGCATATGCCATGCGGAGTTCCATCAGCAAAATGAGAAAACTGAGGCAACTATACCATTCTAAGGAAGCAGTACTAGCTGCCATTATATACAGTGAGTTATACACTTCCTCATTATTTACACTGAAGAGCAAACAGAGCGTACACCTCAGCTGCCAAACCAGTAATTACTTTTCTTTAACACACACTTATTTCCTGTACTTCCCAGGTTTCAAACAAAAAGCTTCTTTTGGTTGTGTACATCACGTTGACAAGTTTGGATGCTAGGAAACTAAGGGAAGGGAAAAGGCAATTTTAGGAAGCTTACAACCCAAACTTCAACAGCATCAGAGAGATGTGTTCTAGAAAACATCACATTACAGCTGTTTTCAAGTGGACCCGCCACTTATGCACACAACGAAGTCTCCTCAGAAGTCTTCATCAGCTAAAAATGAGCTTCCACTTTCCACACTGATACTGGTTTAACTTCTTCAGTTTTTGTAAGGCTAGATTTTGCATTCGGCTTCCAACTGCAACGACCAACCTAGGGAGCAAGGATGGAATTAAACAAAATTATACCCAAGACAACTGAATGAGAAGATGTTCGCAATACAGGCAGTTTGGAAGAGTAGTTGTGCTACTCTTAACATATGAAGAATAAAATAGTAAGCCTGTGCAACTGTTTTATCATTTTGCATCTATTTCTGAACATGATGGCCTTAAGCAGCCTCTCTTCCAGGACTTTATCATTCAGCTGTTAGATTCTGCCACATAAGCTATTCCAGAAACAACCTGATTGAGGATCTAACATCGTATCTAGATCCAGGTATGCCAGCTATGCAATGCAAAGGTCTGCAGCATCCAAAATACAAGCCTGCATGTTTTTAACAAGTTTCTAATTTTTCCTTTGGGGAAAAAAAGGCAACAAGGAAATTTATGAAGACTGCACTAGAGCTACAGACTCACTACAACCTGTATAATATATGCTACATTTCACTTGTGAAATACTTGTAGCTGCTGAAATAAAAAAAACCAAAAAAATAGCTGGAAATAGAAACATACACCTTAATTTTCCTTCAGTTATCAAGCAAGAAGCTAGTCACACATATATGTGGCAGCCTTCCAAGAATATCTGCATTTCCATGATATGTTTTGCATTGTTATTATTTTCCTCCATTAGGCTAACAAAGGTCACACTGCAAATCTTTACCTCACTCTTAAGATAAAAGACAAAATTATCAAACAGAAAAGCACAGTTTAAATTACTGCTACCTATTTCCATCCATCTTATCTAAGCAGTTCTGAAGTGGAGGTCTCTACCAAATAGCAAACAGTACTGCTGAGCTGTGTGGAAATGATGCTACCTAAAAAAAAAAAACCATCACAGCCAATGCCTTCATTTTAATTTCTGAACTCGCAAGCACATGTGGGTCAGACCTCTCTGTACCTTCTTAGCATCTTTATCAGTAAAACTAGTTAGTCAAGAAGTAGCTGGTATTAGTAACTAGACACACAGTTTCTATGCATGGATACTTGCCAGTTAGTGTCAAGCAGATGTCCATAGTTCAATCAACTATGATCTGAATGTTTAACAACAGTTTTTCCTCTTAGAGCATGTGGAAGTGCATTCACCAGTTTAAATACACTCAAAACAATTAATCTTTGAGATTCTCTGCCTTGATTAGACCTGAAGAAAAGCAACTATCTAGACTGAAGGCTTAAAAACATTGCACAAAAATCATAGACTCATGAAAACCCTGCAACTATCCATGAGAACAGCAGCCACTTCAAAAATATAAAAACACATTCTTATATGAAAACATACCAGTGGCATCTCTGGACTAGAAAATGAGGAGGTGTCAAAAGATCTATTTTCTTTGTCCAGGGAATCATCTTCGTAATTATTTCTATGTGCAAACTTCTGCTTTAGTGCATGTGTTAGTAGAGCAACTGGATCCCAATCTGAACTTTGCCTCTTTTTGGGTCTAGAAAGAGGAGTACCTCCAGGTGACCTACAAAAACAAGCAAGCAAATTATTGTCTCCTGCTGTTAATCCTCTCTCTGCTGAGTGACCCAAAATCCAGACACACAATTTCTGTATATGCCCTATCCTATAAATCCCTGATTACACAAATAATGCTGCTAATGCTATTTTACAGCAATTTCCAAAATAGGACTAATACAAGTACATCCAACAACTTCTCAGCCAGATTCTTAACTTGAAAATACAACCTGATGCTGTTCCACAACGAAAAGTGACAGTAAATGAATACAAAGTATTACAGTAATGCAAATATATAATGTGGGGAAAAAAGGCAAAATGTGCAGTCTTAAGTAATGCTTTTTTGTGACATGTTACCTGAGCTTAACATCAAAACAGCAGGCCATTAAAAATATTTATAATCCAACTGCACTATTGAAGCAAAAATTAAAGAAACATGCCCAACAAAAGATACAGCATGTACTTTCTTCAACACTTCAAAGCTATGACCAGAATACCTTGGACATGCTAACAGTAGTTTTCCAATGTTTTCCTAAGGATTTGCCTTTTCACAATGAATCAAGAAAGTTTATTTGTTCATATAAATTTTCTGTAACTTTGTAGGCAACTTTTAAAGTGATCTCCAGATAGCAACACACCCACCCCCCTTCCCCAACCTGAGATTTGTATACTAAAGCAGGAGCCTAGTTTTAAATGCTCCCCTTTTCAGCATGTTTTAAATGCATCTAAAAGCCACACCACAAGTATGTTAAATGCCAACTTGTGAACTTAGAAATTGTCAACTTCAGTTTGTCAGCAGTAGCTGCTCATTAAATTAATGTTTCACACTGGTGTTCTCTAGTGCTACTGAAGTGCCATGATGCTGACACTGTCTTGGATTACTTGGGCACACATTCAATCAACCTACCTCTCAACAGCTCGCAACTGAACTTTGTTGAGGTCTTTCAAAACATCCATCATACTAGGAACACTCTTTGTCTTCTGGTGATCCACACCATCAGCTGCAGTGGAACCACTGCTTCTTGCAGCACGTCGTTGCTTTATAAGTTCAATTGCCGAGTTACAAGTGTCAACACCAGAGAGTGCACCAGAGGAAAGTGGAGGAGGAGAAGGAATTACAAAGTGATTGTGAGAGATGGGCAATGGTGTAGAAGTCATGGCTGGCACTGGGTAAAATCCATCCAGAGTGCTGAATGCTTTAAAGGCTTCTGGATGCAATTCTAAAAGAAAAAGAGTAATCTTATTTTTAGTCAGTATACCTTCACGACTAATAATATTAAGCAACATCTGGGATGACTCAGTTTTAAGACAGATGTCTTAAAGCACTTTCTTACAAGCTTCATACATTTTACCACAGAAGGATTATATTTAAACACAGAATATTTTTTACTTCAAAGCCACGGATTCAGAACACATGAACTAATGGATCTGAGGTGTCCCAGCCTGTCCTGGTTTTCTCCATCTGTGCCTTCAATCTAAGCACTAGATAAATCAGCAAAGCAGCACTGCAACAGCAAAGCAGCCTGCTACTACTTACAGTTCATTCTCAGTGGAGCAAAAGCAAAGATAACCACAAAACAAGTAAAACAGCCTACAATACAGACTACAATGGAGAAGGGACAAAAGAACAGCCACCAGAACACCTAAAGTAAGAACACAGGTGTCTCAACTGCTACTTAAGTTCACTTGGCACAATGCACACAACCATAACTCCCTCACACCAGTTCAAGTGTTTCAATCATCAGTGCAAGTGAAACAATCAACACCTTAGCGTGAACTTCACTCTTTGATACTCCAGTGGCTGTTAGACACAGCTACTGCAGCTTTTGTTTGTTAAAGCCTGAACCTGACTTCCTTAGAACACCTTTTTTAATCATTATTTTGATAACTTGTTTGAAGCAGTAAAAAAAACAAACAAAAGGGATAATAAATAGGCTGTAACTTTTTAAGCAGTGATTGCTAGCCTACCAATTACAACCAAAGCATGGAAATGAGTATAAAGATCACTTAGGAACAGCTGCATTCAAAATTGGCAAATGGGCCAAGAAAAAGGGGACAGGGATTAGGGATGGCACCAAATACTAAAAAGGGAAACAAAATACTACATTCTGTAAATTATGTTGGTATAACTTCAGTTAGAGAAATCAGAGATGTTTTCTATCAATATAAAAAATGGAAAGATGTGAACAGGAATACTAAAGTAAAAAAAGGAAAACTGGTTTGCTTCAAACCAGGAGGGCTTACGTGGTGGAATGCTTCCCAGTGTCTGGGCTGAGACAACAGCAGCAATCTGAGCACGAAGGAAGGTCAGCTCCTCTTCAAGCGCCGAAATTTTCTGCAGTGCTGCTTGACCAACAAGACTGTCACTTTCTGCACTGCTTTTTGGAATGGTTTGTATTGAATCTAGGGGTGGATTAAGGCCACAGTAAGGTGCACTTTTTTCTTTTCTCCAGAATTCAGTCCTAGAACATAAGAGAGACAGTTTCAAAAGACTTGGCCAGGAATGGACATATCAAAACATACTCACTACCTGCTCAAGCAAGTTACCATCATTCAGCAAGACATAAATTCACAAATTCTTGAAGAAAACTTTAAACTATTAACTACTCATAACCTTACAAAATTTTAAGTCTCCCTTTCCTCAGTTACAATACAGATCCTTGAGAAGTCATCATATTTACTCAGGGATAGAGAATACATCATAAGGTCATAACATAGAATTGAGCTGTTATTATTCAATAACCATTAGACTGACACCATAAAGATGTCTCTCTCTCCTCCCTACCTGGAAAAGTAGATATGAAAGGCAGGGAGAGGATATTAAAAAAATAATAATTAATTTTAATACACACTTGCAGAACAAGAACCTCATCTTCTGTAAGCTACACATGACCACAGACTGAACTAGAAAATTGTGCTACCAGTCTCAGGTTTGAATTTTAAAAATTGTTTTAAGTCTTTGTCTGCAGAAATAACTGTGAAGTGTAGAATGAGTGTAAATTCAAATTACCAGAATTTAATTATGAAACAAACAAAGAAATCAAATACACTCTATGTGTTCACAATGCACTAAGTTCTGTCTGGAACAAAACTGGCCGTTTTCCTTATAATAGTTCTCCTTTGACTTCAAATCAGACCTGCAGCTCTGCTTCCAAACACCCTTGCTCTTCACACTAGCTCAGAAGGAAAAGATATCAGTGAGAATACTTTTCTTGAAAAACATCCCACTGAGCCAGGAGAGGAGGAAGAAAGAATGTAAACAATAGAAGAATGAACTTCCATTGATCTGTGAATCAGACAGGCTAAAGAACAGTGTAAGCAAGACAAAACAGGCCACAGATCCTTTTAACAATATTCTCACTCTCTCTGCAAAAGAGAAAACCTTCCACAATTCAATAGTAAAGCCATAAGATGAAACACAACTTTATCAGAACTTATCTAGTAATAAGTGTGAAATTTCATCACTTTCTTGTACCTCCATTACCAGCAAGCAGCACAAAGATCACAGACAAACACAGGCCAACATGAAGTAGAATTACACTGTCTGATACGGATCTAGTACAAGACAATACAAGTGTCCAAATTTTAATCTTGCTTATGGCTCTGACTCATCCTCTGATTTTTTAACAGATCTTTAAAAGGAACAATAAGCAACTTTCTACTTCTTCTCTAGAGGGAAAAAAACAAACAAACAAACAAAAACCCAGGAAACTTTTATACTACTTGTCTCTGCAAATTCCTGGATAATTTGTCACTTCGTGGTACTTGTAATAGTTTATAATTGTAAAAATATTTTCTTTTAGCATTCTGTAAAAGCAAGAGGGAGTTACACAAACTCTATTGAAAGTAAATTTTTAAAAGAAAGAAATAATGTTTTTCTTTCCATCAAAGAAAACATCAGGTTTACACTCAACACTGTAATAAAGGACATCAGGAGACATGTAAATATTTTTTTCTTTCTCCCCCCTTTATAACATTTCTCAAAATGCTTGTAGGCTGACAGAGAGAAGAATAATCTTGTTTTATGTTGCATACATAAGTTTCCTTTATACTCTCTCCCTCATAAAGTAAGTGGTAAATTAAAACAAATTAAAATACCTGTAATGTAGCTGATTTGCTATCAGGAACAGAAAATAACTGACTCAAATTTCAGAAATATTTCAGATAAGAATACATAGGAAGAATATCCAAGTAAGCAGGAACTGTGTCCCTAAAAGAACAAAAAGCTTCCAGGGTTGGTTTAGCTGAAAGCCTGAAAGGGCTAGGGGAAAAAACCAAACCAAACCAAACCCAACCAAACATGACAAAATCAAACACCACAAAGAACAGGTAAGTTACTTTTATTACTTCTTTTTATGCATTTATTCCACTTTTACTTACTTAAGTCTAGTAGATGCTTCTCCCTCATCATTTGCCACCCACAGGACATCAGCAAGTGATGGAGCTGCAGGAGCTGGAGCTATGCTCTGTTCATCATAACCCAAGTCCTGCACAAGCTGAAAAAAAACAAGTAAGAAAAAACATATTAAGAGAAACCAGATTCAGCACATCCCAGAAGTTCTGCTTCAAGAAAAGGCATTTTTAAGCAGTGCTATAAACAAGCTGAAAACTGAGCATAAGGGATAGACATGGGGGTTACATAAGGTAAAAAGAACAGAAACTCTTATCAGTACACTAAAAAGGTAGAAAACTTAAATAACTGAAGTGCATACATAACAGTAAATAACTTACTTGAAAGTAAGGTCTTGGGGAGGGCTCTAAGGAGAGAATTGTCCCAAGTCTACGGACAATACTTCGAGTAGATCCATATTCCTTCTTTTGGCAAAAAGATATGACCTAAGAAACAAAATACTTTTATTCAGAAAATCAAAACCAAAGCCCTCAGTTCTTACAATCAAACTTATTAAATAATGTAATGCTATATGTAATTAAATACAATGCAATTAGGCTAACCTAACTTTTCAGTGCCCTTCCCAAGCTGAAAGTCCAGAGGCCTACACTGGTGTTAACAGACTGTTTCCAAAGCAACACCAAGACTCAGCATCTACCCAGTATATTTTAGAGAGGCACGAAGGCCAACAAAAACGTAGCAGCTACATCATGTAGCCAGTAACATCCTGAGCTACTGACAAAAGAAAGAAGTGCACATTTGAGTAACCGTATGCATCTACATACGTTTAAAGTGAAAAAAATAGTAAAGAAGCAAAATAAACGAAAGGTACCTTGACCTGACACTTCCTTAGGATGGCATACAAGTGCTGGAAATGCCTTCTTGAAGAGATTGCTGAAGGGATGCACGTTCTGATTCGCCTTATACTGCTGCTGGACACACGGCTCTCCAAATACACGGCCTGTCACAGGAACCCCCAAGAACCCCCAACAACGAAACCAAAAAATAACAAAGGTAACTCAAACCAGCGTTCCCAGAAATACTTCAGTAGCTCCACGTAAGTAAAGCCAGGGATTTCCTCAGAAAAAGCTGCCCTTGGGCCTCCCCTCTGGCCCCTGTGGCGATGCCCAGAAGGCCGGGCCCTGGCAGACCTGCTGCTGCAGCGCCGAACTTCCCTAGGGAAACAGCCTTCCCGGACTCTGGAAGCAGAGGGCTCCCAGGGAACAGCGCTGCGGCTTTTCGCTGAAAGGCGCAAGACATCAGCAGCTAAAGACATTCCTTCCCCTGCTCAGACAGAACCGCTCGCCTGGCTGCACCGGAGCCGTGACCCAACCAC